CCGAACTGTTCGTGACACGAGCGAGTCTCACAAGAGTGACACAGTGCTGAATGTGACGCTGCAATGACACATCCAGTCTCGACCCACATGATCTAACTGTGCAGAGTGCATGCAGGTGACCGGTGATGCGGATCGACGCGTCCGAGTGTAGTGAAACACACTGCTTGCAACTGACTAGGTGTGCATGTGTTCGACTGACCAGATGTGTGTCACAATGTGCACATGGGTGGAGTGTCGGTTGATATGTGGTTGTGTGTAGGTGTACTGCGTCAGAAGGTTGGTTTGTTGTGAGGTGTGTAATGCAGTGTAGTAGTTCGATGTGAGCGGACGTCGGCAGAGCATGAGACTCTTAATCTCAGGGTCGTGGGTTCGAGCCCCACGTCGGGCGTCGTCCGGTGAGGCAGCGTATCGTGTCTGCTCGTTGCCGACTTTTGAACGACAACTACTCACATCCCACAATCAATCATTCACTCACGCACACGCACACGCACATCACAACACTTCACACATCGTCACCAAACACCACCAATTACAATCTCAATGCACGCTGCACATTCCATTCCAACTAAACAACCATGCATACAACCGACACACTGTCAGGCCGCCAGTCCGACTCACAGTCGACCATCTCTCACTACTCACAGTGCATCGATGCACACATCAAAGTCGCTGTGGCACTCGTTCTACACACTCAACTCCACAGACCAACTGACCACTGAGGCATACAACCAACTGCATGCAGAAAACGTGCACTCAACCACCCGCTTGTCTCAACCCACACCAACACCATTCTTCCATCCCTACACCTATCCAAATCGGTCGATTCCGTTTGTCTCACTGACCAAGTTCAATTCTGTCACAAATCACCCACACCCACAACCCTCCCCCCCCCCCCCCCCCACACACACACACACACAGAAGTATCATTCATTCACTCATTCAATCACACACTCATCAACGCACACTCGCATCATCTATTCAACACGTCAACAACCAACCTTCACATCACATCTCAACACAGCACAACACATCACAACACATGTGCATCGCGCTCATCGACGCAGGCATCAGCGTTTCACTACACTCTCCTACACCACTCAATTCACTGACTCACACATTCACTCACTCATGTGATCAGATGAACAACACACCTCCTCCTCGTCCCCGTTCGATCAGACGACACCGGGCGAACGCTTCTTGTAAATAGCATGATCAACAACTTGTGGGATAGTGTTGCATCGAGTCAGGATGATGATTCGAGACAATCGGACAAGGCATGTTGATGAATGGAGGTGGGTCGGTAGAGCACCTATGAATTGGTGGATGGACACTCAGACCATTCCCGAACTGTTCGTGACACGAGCGAGTCTCACAAGAGTGACACAGTGCTGAATGTGACGCTGCAATGACACATCCAGTCTCGACCCACATGATCTAACTGTGCAGAGTGCATGCAGGTGACCGGTGATGCGGATCGACGCGTCCGAGTGTAGTGAAACACACTGCTTGCAACTGACTAGGTGTGCATGTGTTCGACTGACCAGATGTGTGTCACAATGTGCACATGTGTGGAGTGTCGGTTGATATGTGGTTGTGTGTAGGTGTACTGCGTGAGAAGGTTGGTTTGTTGTGAGGTGTGTAATGCAGTGTAGTAGTTCGATGTGAGCAGACGTCAGCCAGCCCGGCTAGCTCAGTCGGTAGAGCATGAGACTCTTAATCTCAGGGTCGTGGGTTCGAGCCCCACGTCGGGCGTCGTCCGGTGAGGCAGCGTATCGTGTCTGCTCGTTGCCGACTTTTGAACGACAACTACTCACATCCCACAATCAATCATTCACTCACGCACACGCACACGCACATCACAACACTTCACACATCGTCACCAAACACCACCAATTACAATCTCAATGCACGCTGCACATTCCATTCCAACTAAACAACCATGCATACAACCGACACACTGTCAGGCCGCCAGTCCGACTCACAGTCGACCATCTCTCACTACTCACAGTGCATCGATGCACACATCAAAGTCGCTGTGGCACTCGTTCTACACACTCAACTCCACAGACCAACTGACCACTGAGGCATACAACCAACTGCATGCAGAAAACGTGCACTCAACCACCCGCTTGTCTCAACCCACACCAACACCATTCTTCCATCCCTACACCTATCCAAATCGGTCGATTCCGTTTGTCTCACTGACCAAGTTCAATTCTGTCACAAATCACCCACACCCACAACCCTCCCCACCCCCCCCCACACACACACACACAGAAGTATCATTCATTCACTCATTCAATCACACACTCATCAACGCACACTCGCATCATCTATTCAACACGTCAACAACCAACCTTCACATCACATCAGAACTTGTCGGAACACATCATAGTCGTATTTTGTCAGCATATATTTGTAATTCATTTATCGAGGTTGGAACAATTCAGAGGGACATTTCTTAGAGAAACTCGTTACTATTGCCTAGGTTTTTTTTACTGTGGTCTATAATCAAGTCGTTGTATTTTGTTTAAAATTTTTAATTTGTCATATGACTGGTTTTTCTGTGACATCTTATTGAAAAGTTTTATGTTTCTTGATATAACTTTGCATTTTCTTTATTCAGTACAATTTCCACCCGGATATTCCGATTAGGTATTCTCGTTTAATATTATTTAAATTGTACAGTTAGTATAATAATAGTGTTGTTGAATAGAACATGTACTAGTTTATATAAATGTTTTGATTTCAACAGATCTATATGTATTATTACGTTTTAAATAATTGTAACCTATGTGTCAAAAAAAGATAAAGTCAGTATTGAGAAAACATTTTGAAATCAATTGTGCAATACAGATAGATAGAGGGATAGTCGAAAGTATTATCGTCTCGTAGGGGGTTTGTTTATATACTACAATACACACATAATTTCTAAAATTTTCAAATAAAACGATAAGAAGTAATGATCAAAGAGATAGAGTGAGAGAGAGAGCGAGAAAGATGGGAAAAAAACTAGTTTTCAGAAATAAACAAGAAATTATCATAGATAATTAAAAATACATACATATATATATGTATATGTAATCAGTTTTTGTGTATCCTATCCATAAATTAAATGGTGTTGATATGATGTTCCTATTCGGGGCATTATTGTCACGAGAGAGAAAATTACATAACATTAGACAAGTGTTCACATAAAGAGAAGAAGAATAATAATTAGTCAATTGGCTACTGTAACAACAACAACGATAACAACAGTAAACTAACTACTCTAATATAAAACTCAAAACATTAATTAGATTTTGCCGAATCTAATTCCGATTCTTTACTTAATGGATCCATTACCCAAAGACGATCTAATCCAATGGAATTAGATACAGTATCATTGGGTATATCCACTGACGCTGTATCCGGTGTCACTGCACTAGGTGATAATTTGGAACCACGTACAAGATCTAAACGTCGCAGTATTTGTAATGATCTGTTAGCATCAAATGATAAATCGAATAATGGACCTGAACCACCGGTAAATTGTGTTGAATCTGATGATGTATTATTTGTGATCAATGCACCGATGGATGATGTCAGTGATATATGCGATTGAGGTGTCAAACGTTTAGCAATCCATGATTCAGCACGAAAACCCAATTGCATAGGAGTTAAAGCTGTATTACCTTGAAAGAAGAGTAAATCATGAAATGACACACGATAATATATATATATATCCATATATCACAAAAAATAGTAAAGAAACGAGTCAAAGCATTTGTGCATATGACGTCAAGTTTACACATTTCATATGAAGTGTAGTTAAGAGAAAAGTAATCAATTCTGACAATAAAACACTCGAAAAGTCCCAAAATCAGAACACGGTTGGAAAGTGAAAGCGAAAAGCTGAAGCGTAGGCGAAGGCGAAATAGATACAACGTTAGTATCTTTATAGTGTGTTTACATGGGAAGCTTCTGGATTGTAATTCACGTGATTGGTTAGCATTGACCGGATTAGATTTAACCAATCAGTATGCAGCTAACAACACGAGAATTTTCTAGTCTGCTCTCTAAGTATAGGGCTAGGCGCTGATTGGATAGGAAATCAGCCAATCAGCGCGCAGTTAACGCAGTCATCCTTTAATCCATCTATGTCCCACTAACAGTGATACTATGAGTAAACACTTAACTGTTATCAGAATTAAATAATTTGCATATAAGCAGATAGTAGTGGTACTTCATAAATTGGGGAGGGCTTAAAGAACGCAATACCATCAAAAGCATCCCACTCTTCAGTTTGAAATTTTACTATTTCACAAATTTTACAAAACTCATTTGGATACAAATAATTACTGAAATTCAAATCAACTCTCATTTTAGGTATAAGCTACACTTTAATTGTGAGAAGAGCTAGCGAAACTATCCGGTTTTCCAGGTGTTCGTAATTGAGGCTTAGTCAATAGTCTGAACCACTAAAACACTGCTTCATATAAAACTATTAGTTTATTTGTGTTAAATAGTTACATTAAAATATAACACGTGTTGAAAATGAAACAGTTGTCAATGATGAACTTGAATCATCATGCTGGTTGAGGATCTGATATGCTCGTCAGTTGATAGGATTGAAACTATTACAAGATCGCCTTAGTTGGTAAACGAGAACGAAGACAAATGATCATGTGACACGATAGGCTAATCTAATCCGAGCGTCCCAAGGCCTCACTAAGTACAGAAAGAAGTCTTGATATGGAGTAGAAAGTGTATACAACAAACACCCAGAAAATACAAGGTTAACAAGCACACAAATCGAGTTTATTTATACATGATAGAAACGTCCTCGGGAGAGCCACAAAAATAGCATACTAAAATAATACATTAACTAATGACAGTCAAGGATTTTCCGGTTGGGAAATGTAATCTGAATGTCAATTGATCAGTCCATGCGCAAAAGCATCAAATCCAAAATTACGACCTTTTCCAAGTGAGTTCTGGGGATCTAACGTCTCCAACAGGGTCGGAATATTAGACACCAATCCAGTGGTTCTAATCGTCAAGCGATTGCTACGAGACTGGATGGTGTATAAAACAAACTTTAGTAGGATGGTGGGAGATACACTATATTAATAGCTCTTGTGCTACGATGAAACGGTTGACTGGTGATCCCTAAACTTTTTAATCGTATCCCAACTATAATCAAACTATGATCAATTTAGATTTGTCAGTCAGTCAGTCAGATGCAACATAGAACTTCGTACGTAAGTACATCAGTTCATGTTGCCATACCACATTAGCACAGAGATATAAATGTCAATTCAAATCCAATATTAGAAGTAATCGGAGAGGTTAGGATTAGAAGAAATTATTCAAGAAGTATAATTCAGTGAGATAAGGTTAGAAATATAAAGGTAGAGGTGTTGTCGAATCCAGAAGATTAGAATTTGAGAAAACACAATGAATGAATACACCTGTGCCATTGCAAACGATTTTGAGCCATGTCATTCAAGGTCGTTGGTGACTTTCGTCTCGCGGACCCCAACCACGTAACCTACATCTACCAACATGACTTAGTCAACTTGTTAGTGACTTCATGGATTTCTGCCATGTTTTGGTCTGGCCACCCCTAGCTTTCTTCCAACCTACTCCAACACCACAAAACATAGCTCGTCGCGGCAGTCAGTGGTTAAGCATTCGTAACACATGTCCCAAACACCTCCATTGGCGAAGCTTCAATATTTCATCTATTGATCTGCCATCCTTACCTAGTACTCGTTTCCTAACGACAGCATTGCTTACTCGGTTGTCCCACGATATACGAGCAATGCTTCTTAAACATCTATGATCAAATACTAGTAACCTACGAACATTTTCTACTCTTAACGGCCATGTTTCGCATCCATATAGGAGAACGGAGCGAACTGCTGAGCAGTACACTCGTCCTTTAGTCAGTAAACAGATATCTCCATGTCCTGCTTCTCATCGTAGCATTTAAATTGCCAGAGTTACAGTAAACGGTTAATAATATTCATTGTTATCACAGAAAATTTATTTGTCAATTGTAGTAAAACTTTTAAAGGTTTATTTCTGGTTTTTATTTGCAATTCAATTAGATGATGGATGGTGATGCCGTCTGTTACCTTAACCAATCAATTCAAATCATCCTCTCTCTGTGTAGAGAAGAATTAAGAAAAAAAATAGTTTGGTAATTTACAAAATTCACTCTTTCGGTATAAAACATGTACTGCCTCCACATATACTCGAGTTCGTTTACATTTAATTTGGTTAAGCCCTTTCGATTCATTTATTTTTAACCTAGCCAGTTTGTATTGCAACAATTTATATATGTACCATTCGTTCTTATTATTGTCTGGTTTGTATGAGCTCACATGACGTGTCTCACTTGTCATTTGACCTTGTCAACTATTCGTCGCTTTTATTCATGTGTGCCTATTTCGCTTGTCGCATGTATGCCTTATATTTGTCTGACTATATATTCTTAGTCACGCTCTATCTCTTGGAGTTGGCTTAACAGCGTTCTCAAACACGCTTCGCCTGTTCATTCGCTTCCTTCGCCCATTCGTTCGCATTGTAATCCTGGGACTTAGCTCAACAGCCTTCTCCAATTCACGTCGCGTCTTTCGTTTTATTCGCTGCTTCTCCGATTCGCTTTGTGGTGTGTCCCGAATAAACGTATTCAACACTACGAGTTCACCTTCTGATTTACAACCGTCAGACGTTACTTTGTAACGATTGTCTGGACTAGCTAATTAACAAGCTTAAGAGCACGCAGTAAATCGACACACTACAAACATATCAAACAATAAAATCAACATGAGAGAGAAAAAACACACCAACATATTCAGTTGTTCATTACTTACTGTCTGTAGGTCTTAACAATAATGCATAAGTAAGTAAAGCTGATTTAAATTCTTGTTCATGGGCTAATTTCAATAAAATATTGATTGATTGCAGTCCAGAGCTTTGACAACACAGATATTGCTACATAATAATAATAATAATAATGATAATAATAATAATAATAATAATAATAATGTAACTGACAATTCAATAAGTCTATACTGCAGTATATAAGTTTACGGAGATTGTTGTTTTACAGTGAAATCATGAATGAATCATCGCTGGACCAACATTAGAAACCTGGAAGCACTGAACTGAGTATGAGACTCAACAGTAGTACGCATCCACGACTTCTGTTACTCACAGGATTTGAACCAAGGACCTGCGGTCTTGCACGCGAACGCTTAACCTCCAAACTAATGAGCCGGCATCCAACATGAATCTCATATCAAGACAAATACAGCCGTTCATTACTTTAAGGTTGCTAATGGTGGTCTAACAATGATTCATCCATGATTTCAGTATAATACAGGCAGTACTGATGTCTACTGATATATAACTAACGGTATACTAAAGCGTTACAAACTGAGTAGTTAGAAGTAAGAAGAAGAACAAGTGTTGGATATAGGCTTCGTGATTGTTAGGGGGACATAGATGGAATAAAGCATGACTGCGTTAGCTGCGCGCTGATTGGCCAATTTCCTATCCAATCAGCGCCTGGCCCATATTTGGAAAGCAGACTAGAAAATCCTCGTGTTGTTAGCTGCACGCTGATTGGTTAAATCTAATCCAGTCGATCACATGAATTACTATCTAGAAGCTTCTCATGCAAAGACTATGAAGAAGCTAACGTTGTATCCATTTTGCCTTCGACTTCGGCTTCGTATTTCCATTTAACCTTGCTATTTGGAATATAATCTTTTCCTGTTCCATCGTGTTTTCGATTCTTTGGAACTTGTCCAGTGTATTGTGTGGTCAGAGGATACTAAGC